GGGTGGGGGGAGTTTCTCAGCGATCGCGGTGCGTTGCAGCAGCTACCGCTCTGGAACGCACACGCTTTCGGTGTGGACAGGCCCTAAGATATGTAGTCAATCATTGTAAATCTGCATCTTTCTTCTAAGTAATCCCCGGTGATCCCGCCATGGAGGTCCTTGTTCACGCACTTCCTGTTGTAGGGCGACACCTGTCTCCCAATTGTTCTGCTGCTATGTCACCTGTCACATGCGCCCCCTGGTGGAGACTACGCGCGGCACACGTCTCACAGACCTCCGTCGTCACCGTCAAGGAAAGCCGGTCCAGAGCAGAGCTGGGCAGCCGGGCGATGCTGCAGAGAGTGCATGCAGACAGGAAGTGGCAGCCGGGCGATGCTGCAGAGAGTGCATGCAGACAGGAAGTGGCTGACAGTGTCTGGAGGAGATCAGCAGCAATGGAAAACCAGCATAGTATGAAAGTAACAGAGCGTGGCATTTGTTTATGATGCACAGCGCTTCAGAAAAGGAAATGTCACCCGCTATGTGTTTACATCTACTTTAAGGGACAGACTTATATATATATATATATATATAGCAGTGAATGTGACATTCACAGGTCGTGAATCAGTCAATCAATATCATTTAAAACACATGCACCGAGAAGATTCACCCGCAGTGAATGCTCGATGAACGTCAGAATTGCTGCCTTATCAGTGTAATGCTGGGAGATGACGCGGTGCACGCAGCGAGCAATGCGTTACCCGGTGCTGTACAATGATGCAGTTCTTGTGTGCTCTGGTCTGACGTGTGACAAGGAAGTGTCTGTGTATCATCACGGTTTTTTTTTTTTTAATGAGATACTGTTTTCTCCCTTCTGATCATCTCAATGCAGCTGATCTCCTCCAGCCTCTCTCGGCCACTTCCCGTCCACACTCACTTGCCCCAGGGTTGGCCGCACATCATTGCACTGCACCAGTTCACCGACAATGGACCGAGACTGTGCGATGCGTTCCTGCGCACAACCAGGTACGTCTGTGGCAGGGTGACAACGCGAGGGCGCATGTGAAAAGCTGTTGTCACCCCATTAAAGGAAGTGCCTGCGCAAGGTTTTAAATGACATGAACTCATTGAGGCGTCTTTAGGTTAAAGAGGTTCAGATCTACTTTGAACTCGGTATAATGCATCTCAACGCATGCGTGGACACGATCAGCACATCTCACGAGGAGAATGGAAAGAGAAATCAAAACGAATGAAAAAAAAAACTAAATATTTTGCCTCTTCCTTCAATTCTACAACCAACCGCGAGTGCGAGTCCGGAAGGGTGAACACTAAGCCGCGTATCCGATAGTAAATAACGATTGTAACAATGCAATATAAATAAATAATAACAACAAATGACATACAATTATAATAAATAATGATAATAAATAATAATAATAATT